TGCAAGATGATTTCTAAGGAATTCTGCACAATTGGCTGTTTCCAGGCATTGTTTGGGTCTGGAAAGGAAGTTCTGATTTAGAACAGTGTTATGAGATGGAAGGAGTAGCAAGGTACCTTAGGGATAGTCTGCTCAGATGTAGTAGCAGTAGGTGCAGAAGCAGGGAAAGGATCTGCTTACCTTAGAAGGCTCCTATGGTCCTTTAGTAGGCAGAGGCCTCAAGAAGAAACACTTCACTTCCATTGCCAACCCTTCAATGAGATCAGGGAAGGGATGGATCCTGGCTCCAGCCCTTCTGGCCACTCAGTGCATTGCATGCACCTGAGTTCCCCTGGCTTGGCCCTGTCTTCTCAGCTGGTGCTCAATCACCTGTTCAAGTTGTGACTCTGCACTTCCAGTACAGACAACTACTGGATTCAAGTTCTGGAAAGTAAGGTGAAATACATTTCTTTCAGTTCGGATATTAGAAGAGCAGTCCTGTGTCAGGAAAGATCTGTACCCATGCGGACATGTCTTCAGGAGTGAAGGCTGTTGACTGATCACTGTCTGCTGGGAGAGCTAGGGGAAGAAAAGTGATCTGGGAGGAAATAGTTCATTGTGCTCTGGTACTAAAGCATTGTCTAGAAAGGTCATTTTTTGGTGTGGAGTGTGCTTTGCTGTCCAAGTAAACTAACACAGAGGAACTGAAGTGCAATTTGAACAAGTACCTGGTAAATTAATCTTGTATTAGATTCTGTGTATGGATCTATGAATCTGTATTAAAATACAGTGAGTATCTGGAATATTTTTTAGTATGGAAAATACTTGAATAATAGTTTATGATGCTTAGAGCAAACTGGATTTGCTTGAGAATCAAAATCGTTGGATCACTTTTGAACCTTAGTTTTAGCCCTACATCATTACTATGCATTAAATATTAATACAAAGCCCCAAAGCAAGTGCAGAGACTAAACTATCTGGGTCTTTCATAATTACTTTGTTATGGTAACCATTGTAACAAGGTTAATGATATTCTTCAGATGTATTTGGATGTGTTGAACTTCTTCCCTAATTTTGCATTGCTTAGCTTTTTAATAAAACAATTTGTTTAAATGCACTAGCTCTGATGTTCCTTTACATATGACCTCGTTCTACCATGACTTAATTTTACTCCTAGTTTAGTATTGCTTCATGTGGGGAAAAATTGGATTTAAACTTTGAAAATGCTGCTGCTTGTCAATTGCTTTATTCTCACCCACTTCCAATTTGATGCTTGTTGAACACGATGTGATCTGAACGTTCCCATTTGGAGCTGGTGGTTTCATGCCCCACTAAATCCATTTCAGCATTCACCTGTATGATTCCCCAATCATTAAAACTGCTTATGCCATTTTCTAATGCTTTCTCCTTTATTACTCAATAATAACGTCCTTGGGAAATGTTGAATACTCAAAGGCAATATTTTCACTGCTAGCTTAACTTGTTTAGTACTGGAATAAACCAATATCTGTTATTACATTTCTCCTGAGAAAGGATAGATGGCACAGAGGAAGATTTGCACAGAAAAAGATCTTCTAGACGTACCCTATGACTATCACTGGAGGTGTAGGATGAGTTGGAGCATGAATAGAGAGCAGAGTTAAAACTCCCATGCTTTTGATGAGACTTTATCTATTGCTACTTGTATCTGTTCTTGCCTGTGTCTCTTCACATCTGAATTGTTTGTTATCTTTTGTCCACTCAAAAGAAAAGGTAACACCCCTTTTGTCTGGTAATTTTTTACCTTTTGTTTTTTCCCTTGATTTCTGAAATCCATCTCAAATTTTCATCTGTTGCTTTTCCACTCTCTCTTTATAAATAAATAAGAGGAATGAAAGAACTCACAGTATATGACGTGTCAGCTTAGATTGCAAGTCTTTCAAGATGGGGTCATTTTAGGTATAGTACTTCCTCTCAGTAGTCTTGTATGAACTTAAGATCATTGCCATCATAAATATAACTAATAAAGTTGAGACCAGGTAGGGGCTGCCAAGATTCAGTGATTTCAACGTGCCTTTCATCCTTCTAGTTTACCTGAGCCAGACGTATAGATTTACAATATCTTTTCAAGCTTAAAGAAGGTAGATTTAAGTTGGATATAAAGAAAAACTCTTATACAGTGAGAGTGATGAGGCACTGGAACTGGTCACCCAGAGATGTGGTTGGTGCTCTGTCCCTGGAGACTTACTGGGACAGGCTGGCTAAGGCCCTTGGCAACTTGATCTAGCTGTGGTATCCCTGTTTATTGTGGGGCAGCTGGACTAGATGGCCTTCTTAAAAGTCCCTTCCAACTCTAAGGATTCTACAAATCTGTGCTCTTGTAATGTCAAATGGGAATATATGCGGAGAGACTGGTTCCACACTCATTAATTAGACAGAGTACTTGGAGTGTACAAGATCTGCATTGTGGATTTTCCTTGGTCAAGGGACGTGTTACCAGAAGTTATAGACTATTTGAAGGGGCAAATCAGGTACAGCAACCCTTCAGGGAGCTCATGTTTGTTTTCTAGCTGCAAGGGAACCAGAAGGTGGTCTGGGGGCTAAGCAGCCCACTTGGAGAAGAAATTGGGTTTTTCAGTTTGTTGGGCCAGGTTGTGTTGAACTGCCTTTAAAATGCATTTGTTCCTGCTGTATTTATAGATCTAGGTGTTTAAGTAACTTCTATTGAAACTATAAGTAGTATTTAGTAAGAATGTAGGAAAATCTGTAAAGAATCTTGAATCAAGTTTGAAGAGAAAATGAGCTTATTGAACCTTAACTCTAGGAAATAAAGGAAATAGATCATTAAACTATGAATAGGAATAAGCAGTGCAAAGATGAAAACCATAAAAATCTGCAGTAGGGAAAATTAGAAGATTAATAGACATCTGGCTGTGGTGCTGAGCATTTCCATCGATCAGTGTCAGAAAATACTGCAGCTCCTTGGTGTCTCCAGAACTGAGTCCAATAGAGGCAGAAGAAAACGGGCATGACTTTAGTGGAAGATATTAAATCTAACAACAACAATAACAACAACAACAAAAAACAGCCCACCACAAAATAAAAAAACTAATTGGCTGTCATCTTTGTTTCTGCATGTAAAATACTTGCCATATTAATCTATGGAGACATCAAGCATGTGGGTTGTTGATTATTAATACAAAGGAAAAATGTTTCTTTGTTTAGCTGATTGCATGCAATGGTATCACTTCATGATTTGAAATGCAGGTGATCTGTCTACCCTCAAGCAGTAAAAGCAAATTCAGAATGAAAGTAGAAACAAATGAAAGAAAATCAGTAACATTGTAACTAATTTGGTCAAAGAACTGATGAAATCCAGCAAACAGTATAGGTCTGGGTGGTATTTTTTCTTATCTCTGTGAAATGGTGTTTTTTACACCCCTAAAGTCATGTTTTGGGGCATTACTATGTTCGATAATAAAACTGAAGTGCACTGAAAATGAAATAATTTATATAATGATAGCATAAAAAGCTGTTAAGATGTAAAAGACTTAAATGAATAGTATTCATTTCTTTATTCCTTTATTCTTTTTTTTTTTTTTAAAGAAAAAAGCTATTAAGCAAGCATAATTTTGTGTTTGAGGAAGATATTAATTTCCCTCTCTTGCCTCAAGACTGATTATTCAGATTGCTTCCACTTCTGGGAGCAGTGCAAAAAAGATAGTGCTAATTCTATAATGTAAGTGATAAATGAGTTAATGAGAAGCTAAACGAATGCAAGTTTGAATTCATAAAGTTGCTGTGGATTATTCTGTTGAGAAGACTAAGCTATCCTTGCAGTTATGGTACCTGTACTTTCCAAAGTGATTCTTAAAAAAATTCTGTCTATTGACTGGGGGGAGAGACACACATATATATATATATATATAAAAACAACAAACAAAAAAAAAAAAAAAGAAAAAAACAAGAAGCAGAACTTACTGTTCAGTCCTAAGAATGAATGTGAATCATTAATAAGCTGTGAGGAAAGATCTTGTTATTTGATAATAGTGGTTCAGAAAAGGAAAAATGGAAGATATTTGCCAACAGGTTGAGGTTTGTTATAGATTGCACAGTAAAAGCTGTTCTGTTTTGACAAGTCACTGCTGCTGTCAGAGCAGGAAACACAACTTAATGCATTTGGTGTTTAAAGATACTTTTTGTATTTAATGATTACCTGTTGTTAGTTACATTTATATTGGTTTGGGTGACAGATACAGTAGTCTTAATTTATCCCTACTTTTATGTTGCCATAGTTTTCCACTCTTCAAGTTTGAAATGATTTGGTTGGCAGAGAAAAATACTTGTTTTGGCTTTTTCTTTTGGCATTTATTATCTCTTACTGAAATATCTGTCCAGTGATTTTATGCATTTTTATAGGTGATAAAAAAGGCAGCTTTAACACTATGACAACCAGTAAGTTAGGTTATTGGACATGAAGCATTGTTGTTACTCAGCATATAACACTGAGAGTAATGGTATTAACGTAAGGAAAAAATCGCCTGGCTACTTTGAATCACAGGTGATGCTAAACAGATTATCTTCTAAAACTTAAAATCTGAAAATTCAGCACTTGTTCTCATTCTCTTCAGCCCCACTCCAAAAAGGAAAGCTTTGGAGGAAACTCTGCTTTTAAATTGGATCAAAATACTTGTAACATTTTTCTAATCTCCACAGATTAATTAAAAATACTGAAAAGAAAATGAGTTTTTTTTAATTTATGTAAAAAGCTTTGGATTGCAAATGTCTTACTGCTGTAAATTACTAAAACCTAACTGATAAAATAAACTAGAGTTGAAGATGAACAAGAGAATAATTTCAGACTTGAAGCTGACATTCCATATGTTGGCAAGATGTGTTGATTGTAACTGCTGCTGCTAGTTTGGCACAAGAATAATGTCCTGAAATGTCATAGATGAAAAGTGATGTGAATGTCTGTTCTGTATTGACCCTACCCTGAAAATAGAATGTTTTTTTAATGATCATTTCTGTGTTTGTTTTAGGAATATAATTTGGAAGATGTGAAATGGCAGCTACTGAGCAATTTATGGCTAGACTGGATAACTGCTTTAATTAGAGCCTGCCCGATGTTGATGTACTTGTAGAAATGGTTTATCTGTATAGCTGAGAACATGACTCAAGGGAGAGTTTCCTGCTGCTGAAGTCGTTCAAGTCAGGTAAGTCTTAAACCTGTCTAATAAATTCCACTGTGAGAATGGGGTACCACCTTAAGTCATGTGTGTTCAAGCTTGTGGCTTGTCTGGGCTGCATTTAGTGAAGAGCAATTGTCTAGGGCCATTATCTGGAAAGGTTACTTGAAAATTAATGCCTCGCTATTTTCATGGAATGGATACGAAGAGCACAATCACACTATTTAATAGACCAAGTTCTCAACCACAAAACACTCTTTTGCAGCAGTCTCCGCCATTAGCTATGCTTTTTCACTTGCCATGAGCAAGAACCTGCATGCTGCACTTGTAATAACATACACTAGAGCAGATGACCCACCATCTCTGCTCCTGAAATGCACCACTCACCCCTCGCTTTGCTCACATCCATTGTTTGGTCTCCATAAATGTTCAGTGAATGTCGATGGCTGCCATTTTTACTGCATGGAGGAATTCAGTGGTGTACCTTTGCTTCATATGCACTTCCACGTCAGAAGCTGTTTTGTCTGACTCCCTCTCTGCTGCCATCTTTTGCGTGGAAACAAAATGTAATGGGGGAATTAGTGGGAAGGTTCAACCTCTATTGCCATACCACTAACATCCGCCTCTGATGCTCTGGTCTAATGAAATAAAATAGCATGCATTACTTCTGGAGTAGCCCTCATAAAATATATACTATAGTTAATCGATGTGAGTAACAATCTGATACATTTTATACTTTCATTTAGAACGTACAAAACAGGGCAACAAAACCATTAAACTTGAGGGATATGTGACCTCATTTTGCAGAAAGTAACATACACAGCTTGTTTGATGGCAGTGGTTTCAATTCACAGTGAGTTCTCAAGGTGTTTGTCAAACTTTGGATTAAGTTCTACTCTTCCTGTGCTTTATCCTTGAAAAAGCTGTTTAGAAATGTGTATACTGCCAAAAAGCAGTGGAATTAGCAAGTGAGGGATCTTTCCCTCCGGTGACACAGGGCTTATAAAAGTCTACTGAAGAGACATGGTCATGATTTGGATTGCCATTTTATGCATTTGAAAATTTTCAGTTGATGTATTTATGTTGACTGAAATGAAGCCACAAATGAGCCAAAGAAAATGTTGGGTTTTCTTTAATATTGAAACCTATTCTCAAATTCCTTTATCACAATGGAAAGCAAAGCTGCATCTTCTGTTCACTGGACTGTGTTTAGCTTAAGTATCAAAACCCACAAACTTGCTATCATGTGAGTTACTGCTGGGCTGAGCCCTCCCCGTGCCCTGTGTTCAGTCTAGACGGTGTTCATCATGCACTGATGTTTGGTTGGTGCTCAGTAGCAGTTGCACACCTGGGGCAGAGCAACAGAGCCATGAGGGCATGGCAGCAGACCATTTGGGTCTTACTGGGAGCTGTGCCAGACTCCAGGTTTGCCTGGTTTAACTGTCATCTTTTAGTCAAATGTTGAGGAACTCCTAACTGTTACATTTTGCTGAGGCTTATTTAAATTACTACATTAATAGAAGATTGTCTGGAAACTTGGAAAAGCAAGTGTCTTGAGTCCATGTAGACTGGTAACTTTAGAAAATGTTGGTGTTACAAGTGAAGGTGATACTGTGACAGAAAAATGAATAAAACACAAGAGTAGAATAGTAAAATGCAATCAGGCCTTTTGCAATGAAGAGAGGCCTGTGACTTAAAGGTGAGTGATGTTCTCATGTTAAAAGGCTTTTTTTTTTTTTTGACTATAGATTAAAGTATCATTGTGAGAACTAGGAATTAAAAATACTGTATGTAATGCAGCCAGCAGTTTTGTGAATGCAGTAGTCTGTGAGAACTGACATGATGTTCACATCAAGAGTTTTAGTCTTGGTACAATGCTTTGAGTCGATACAAAAACTAGCTGTTGCCTAAAGAAAAAAGGCATTGTACTGCTAGCATAGTTTCCTCAGGAGGGTCTTGTATACAAGATGTACTGAAGCCTTGCACGATAGATTTCAAAGAATTTTAAAGGTGGTTCAAATCATAAACTTGGAATGGAAAGAACTGGCAATGACCCAAAACAAAAGAAGTCCTAGTATGTTATATAGAGATGACTTGTAACAGTCATAACTAGAGAGTTATGACTAAGGAGGAAGAAAAACAAGTTTATTCCATTCCTGAAGCTTGTAAAAGGCAATGGCTGAAACTTGCAGTACAGGAAAGCTGTTCATAGGAAGACACAGGAGGTACATGAAGCTTGAAAACAGATTCAGGCTTTGTTGAGGTTTGTTTTTTTTCATCAGTTTGAGCTGACAGCATCGTGCAGTGTGAAATCTACCTCTGTGAAGAATATCAGATAATTTTTTTAGGTGTAGCTGTCACTAATATTTTTTTGACAAAATAGAAGAAAATAAGTGGATAATTTAACATTGATTTATATATTCAATCATTGCTTTGTTATTTTTTATAGTAACTTATAAAACTTGACTTTTATAAATGTGACAAATGACAATGATGTTTGGTGCAGCTAGATGGTTGAACTCTTGTTTAGGTACTTTTTTAGTAATTTCACCAAATATTCATTTTAATCAGCATAGACATATAGACATATATGGAGAGGGGAATGTGGGAAATGAACAGTTAAATGAACATCACTTATAATTTAATTCTAATGCAGACTCGAATCTGCTCTTAAAATAGTTAAAATTACTAATGGAATTGGTTTTGATTGCCCTAATGTATTGAAGTATTTTTTGGTCATAATATTTCTGATGTCATCCTGTGCAGTGTGTTGTATGTGTGTGTTAAAATGGATGAACAGCTTATTTCCATTAAACAGTCACAGTTTGGTTTGAAAGGTCTGTAATTACTGTCATTACAAACAGAACTTAACCTCAATGAAGTTAAACTTTCCAGTTTAGAAAAATATTACAGGCACTGTGTGTAGGATATTTGGAAGGTTGCATTTAGCCTAAGTGCAAAATGGTGGCAGAAATCATTTTTAAAATCTGACTACTCCATCTCAAGTGTTCAATTTCAGTAATGCTTTAGTTCTATTTCAGGGAGAAAAAGTCCTTTGAATTCAATGTTTTGGGACAGCTTATGACTAATGTAGTCAACCTTCACAAAACTATATTACCTAAGAATACATACTTCATACTCTATATATTTTACATGAAGGTGCATTTTGAATGCAAGTTGAATTGACAGAAGCTGAGATTGTCCATGGAAAAGAAATGCAGTCAATCCTTGCAAAATACATTTAAATTTGAATAATTTAGACTTAACCATCTGTAATTTTACAACTGAACTTCCTTCCTCTGAAAGGATTGAAATATTTTATTGGTAGGCTTGACAATTCCATCTGATGTGTTTAAAATTCAATTCTGTGTTCAATACAGTCAATATACCTCAGCATACTAATGTTTTGCCATATTGAGAATAAAATGACTGCTAATCTCCTTCTGTCCCTCTGGAGCTGCGTGCTGCTGTGTATATTTATCATAGTGTTTTACTTCTCTATAATTCTTTTGTAGGCTGAATCTATTTGCTCTGTGGGCATATGTGCTCTACTGATAACTTAAAGGAAGAATGGGACCGAGTCCTGCTGTAACATTTAGTCCCCTTCAAAAGATTTGCTAACCACTCAGGTCTGCCAGATGAAACTTTTTGTTTAACTATGTACTAGAGGCAAAAGAAACTAGTTCAAATCCGGTAAACAGCAGGTCTTTGCCAGTTCATTTTGACTGAAATAAATGAATGAATGTTTTTAGGATGCTTTTATTGATGCCTAGCCCAAAGAGGATGAAGCTTGCACATCTGTAGTATGGCTGGAGGAGTTTTACTCTCAGTTTTAGAAAACTTTAGAGCAAGCGCAAGTTGGCAGCATCCATTTGGAATCTTTCAGTGAATTGGTTGCACAGAAAAAAAACAACCAACAACTTAGGAAAAAGTATGACCGACCTCAAATGACCTGACTTGTGCTTAAGCAGTCTCCTCTGCCATCACTGTCAAGAACTTCACAAATAATATCATAATCTCACATTTAAAAAAAAAATAAAAAAAACATCCAAGTCATGAGTCCAAGCACATACTAAATGTTAATATTGTGATGAAAAGGGACCTGTGATTTTCTTGTGAAAAATTACTGGTAGGCAAATTGGGTATGCTGAAAGAATGACACTTGTCATGTACTCTGACTGTAACAGCTCATAATACAGTTCCTGCAGAGACTATATATATAAAATAAAACTATTATAAAGAATGTGCTCATAAATTTGTATGAAAGATAGTACCTGACAGTAGATATAATTAAAATACCCAAAAGAATGTAAAACCTTTCTATTTGTTCTCTGGTTTGTATACAGATTTTGACATAGCTTTTTTTTTTTCTGATGTTCTATATCAATAAAGGCAGGCTTAGGCAATGCAGGAGTATAATACAAATGATGAGTAATGACTTGTGGGTTGCAAAGATTAAATGCCGAAGAAATGGTAAACAGCAAAGAACTGCTCAAAAGATTCTTTGGGTAAATAGTGATGATTTCATAATTACAATGGCTTTTAAAACTGAGACTGGAGAAATTACAAGTTTGAGATTCTGCTGGGAATCTTGTGTATGCCTTATGAATTTGTATTGAATATATTCTTTTCACTTACCTTGTTCTGTGATTCTCTTAAATACTTGTTTCCACAAATAGGTTACCATTTGATAAAAGGAGATGTATTTTATCCTAACCTGGAATTTTGATAGCCAGGAAAAAAATAGTGATAGACTTAACTTCCATGCAAGGATATCAGCTGAGTTGGTCTGCCAGTAACCTGCTTAGATATGATGACATATCTAAGTAGACATGCTTTTTTTGATAGCATTTTGACTTATCTAACATGTAATGTTGTAGTTAAGAAAAAAGGTGCGCCTCTCTTCCTGAAATACTGTTCACCAGAGTATTTAGTCAACTTTACTGGCAGTCATGCTGTGTGGTGTTAGAGCTGATTTGTGACAGTATACAGATTACTCCATTTAATCATGCTGTTAAATACATCCAGTCAAATTAACTTTGTTAGAAGCCATATCAGAATCCCTCGAAGAAATTCCTCTGTAGAACTGTGCTGCTTTATCATTACTAATGCGATGTAGCTGTAATTAAACATAACGTAACTTTGAAAGTT